GGGGGAAAGCACGCTTCACAGAGAAGTCCTCTTTAAATGCTTTGCAGGTACTATCACTTTAAAAATCATGTTTTTAGCCCTTCTGGCAGGGGAGAAAACTTCAAAAATATAAATGAATTGTAAAGTGGAAGCTGAAAATCTGGAGTAAAAATCCACAGCAAGCCTGAGCTTTTGATTTTGAGGGGTTTGTGTGAGGTTTTGCTAATATAGCGTTACAAATACACTAGGCCCTATAAGCAGTAAGGCAACTTGAAGGTGTGGAAAAGAGGGAACGGACTCTGTCTCCCTTCTTCAAGTCTTGTACATGTATTGTGATGTGCGTTTGGATGGCAGGTAAGGTATCTACAGAACTTGGCACCTTAAGTCTAGCTTAAGAGTTTCCTTGCCTGGGAATCTAAATAGAGCAGAATGAGAGGCGTTTGCTTTGGCCCCTGTACACCCGCTCCAGCTTAATTAAGCTAAATATTCTTTCTTCCAGTTTGTTGCTGAATCACTCATTCGTAGACACACCACCCGCAAAAGCCTAGTAGAAATGCCCTTGTTGTAGGGACAGGCTGAAGCTGATAAATATTCACACAGATCAGCACAATTGCTGGCAAATGAATGTAGATCTCACCGTCTCTGAAGAGGCACAGTGGTTCAGGCGGACTTATGGGATTTTATTAAAATTGTATGGTGGACTCTCGCAGAAGCAGGCTGCTTTTTTTCTTAACTCTAAAACAAGGTACAGTTAATTTAATTGGATCTTGTTGTTAGATGTGTGCAGGTCAAGGCAGTCTTCTCCAAAGGTCAAAGTAAAATGCTTAGGGCTCCTGGGATCTGTTTCCAGCTTTGAACTGGGACAGGTCCCCTCATTCTCTGCCTCTGCTTTCCTACCTCCAAAATGGGGATACTACATGGCTGCTTCATATGTGCATTCTCAAAGATAGCAAGAGAAGGACTGCTATTTCACAGTTGGCTTGTTGAGGCCCGAAGGAACCACGTTTAACCATCTAGTCTGACCTCCTCCATAACATGGCCAGGTGAACTTCACCTAGTAATTCCAGACTCTTACCTTATATTTGAGCTATAATCTATCTTTTAAAAACTCTGTGTGGTGAATTGGTGTTAAATGTGTGAGTAGAAACCTCGAGGAGCACGAGACAGTCGTGTTGCACTAATGGAGAATGTGCAAGTACCTAATTAGTCATGTGACTAAGGGGCAATCCTTCTGCAGTAAAGCACTTTGAGTGATCCACTAATGAAGAGTGATGTCAAAAAGCAGCATAGTTTTGTGGAAACATATTTTTTCCAAGTCTGGCCTTTTCTGTAGTGCAAAGTATTTTTATGGTGAATGGTAAATATACCATTTTCAGATTCCCACACTAATGCTTTTCTTGTTCTTCATTCTCCACTGTCTCCCACACGATCCTGGAGCCCTTATGTGGGTATAATTCAGAGCCCACAAAACTGCCATCCTAGTAAGTGGGAAATGTCTCCACGTGTGCTATAGAACAGGTGGGAAAGATTAAGCAGAACTGTGATCAAGAGAACTGCTTTTAATAATACCAACTAGATCACCTGTATTATACAAAAGCTCGTACACAAATTGGATTGGATTAGCCCAAATAAAAAGGCCCATTGCCACCCTCGGACTGTGTTAAGTTGGTGACTGACGAGCAAAAGTGGGGTGAATTAAAACATAATGAACAAAGTGTCGTTGGAGAAAACGGTATAGGCAGTTCTGCCCATCACTTCATCTTGGTGTCCTTTGTGAAGATAATTTGTGGAGAAACCATGACATTAGTAATAAATGAGCAGGCTGGAAGGACTGAGCTTTACCATCATAGCTGCTGTGGCCATCACCTTTTGCAACAGCAGAGTCCACCATAACTCTGGCCTTCATTGCCTTGATCCTGAAAGGTAGGATCCTGATCAATCAGGACTAGAAAGACAGACCTGGATACCTCTACCACACCAGGCTTCCAATTCCTAATCAATATCTGGAATATGAGACATGGGTTTCTGCTGTCGCTTCCTCCTTTGTCCATCCTTTCCGTTTTCCCTCGTTATTTTTCTTCTTTATTTTTCTCTCTCGGATTAGTAGGACTCCAGCATAGGCAGCTAAGATTCTTTTGCAACACTGCTGGGAGGCCATGTCCTGAAAAGAGCTAAAAGAAAAAATATCTTAAATAGTCTAATACAGGAAGGAGTTGGCAGTGGTTCAGTATGGCTGGTAAAATCATATGCTGTTCCCATGTTTCTCCTACAGTGAGGTTACAAGTAAGAGTAAGTACCATAATGAGGAGCTCCTGCTTCCATCTGTGCTGGATTTTTTCTCTCCCCTGTTGCATCCTTTCCCCAACAGACAGGATTGGACTTTGATAACAACAGCTCACTCCCATCTCGGCTAACTTCTTTTCTCTGTGTCTGGAGAGGACGTTCATTGCCATGTTTAACATTCCAAGACAGCAAAATTCCTTTAATACGTTTACTTGCTTTTTTGTATCTTAAAAAAAAGGTTGGGATCAATGAGAGCAGGTCCTGCCTGACTAACCTGGTTTCTTTCCATGATCAGGTCACAAAGTCCCTGGATGAGGGTGTTGGGGTGGATGTTGTCTTCCTGGACTTTAAGAAGGCCTTTGACATGGTTTCCCAGCACATTCTCTTTAAAATAAAAACAAACTAGGTGACTGCGGCATTGATGCCTACACAGTCAGATGGGTGGCAAATTAGCTAGATGGTCGCACCCAGAGAGTGGTGGTGGATGGGTCATTTTCAATCTGGAGAGATGTGGGCAATGGAGCCCCCCAGGGCTTGGTCCCGGCGCCTGTACTGTTCAACATCTTTATCAGTGATCTGGATGTGGGTGTGGAAAGCATGCAGTCCAAATTCACTGATGACACCAAGATGTGGGGAGAGGTGGGCACACTGGAGGGCAGGCACAGAATCCAGCTAGATCTAGACAGGTTACAGAGGTGGGCAGATGAGAATAGGATGGAATTCAGTGCAGACAAGTGCAAGGTGCTGCACCTGGGGAGAAGGAACCAGCAGCGCACGTATAGGCTGGGGACACCCTTCTTGTCAACACGGTGGCAGAAAAGGATCTTGAAGTCATTGTTGACTCCAGGATGAACATAAGCCGCCAATGCGAGGAAGCGGTCAGTGAGGCTATCCTCACCTTGTCGTACATCTACAGATGCATCACAAGCAGGTCCAGGGGGGGAATCGCATTGGTCAGGCCACAGTTGGAGTACTGCATCCAGTTCTGGGCGCCACACTTCAAAAAGGTTGTGGCTAGCATTGAGAGGGTCCAGAGGAGGGCCACTCGCATGGTCCAGGGGCAGCGGGGCAGGCCCTACGAAGAGAGGCTAAAGGGCCTGAAAGGGGATCTGGTGGCCATTTATAAACTCACCAGGGGGGACCAGCAAGAATTGGGGGAGGTTCTGTTCCCCTGGGTACCCCCTGGGGTTACTAGGAATAATATCCACAAATTGTTAGAGAGAAGATTCAGGCTGGACATCAGGAGACATTACTTTACAGTTAGGGCTGCCAGGCTGTGGAATGGGCTCCCAGGTGAGGTGGTGCTCTCTCCTACCTTGGGGGGTCTTTAAGAGGAGGCTGGACAGATATTTGGCTGGGTTGATATGACCCCCCGGCACCCATTCCTGCCCGGGGTAGGGGGTTGGACCTGATGATCTGTTTAGGTCCCTTCTGACCCTATGCACTATGATACTATGATTAAAGAGATATTAATGGGGATTGGTTGGGATTAGGCAGGTCAAGGTCTTTGGGCATTTATACACGTGCTTGGGGGAGGCACGGCACTTTATCTCACTCTAATTAAAATACCTGGAGCATCTCATGTATTGGTGTCCCCGTGCTTCAAAACGGCACCCCTGCTGCCATTTTTAAGTGCAGGGATGCTAATGCATGAGATGCCGGAGGCTGTTGGAGTGCAGTAATTGCCACACTCGAGCAGACTCGAGTCTACTCCGGCGCGCTGTAATTACAGCACATTGGAGCAAACTTGGTGCTTGTGTATAGGCACCCTTTGTGCTTAAAACAGTGACCCTCTTCAGTCGATAGCATTATACAGTAACAGGGGTATGCTAACGTTTTGGAATCTCTGGGCTCATTCATCCCATCAAAATTAATTGCATGAAAGCACTCCAGGTTCTTTATTTCAATAAGAAGTGCCACAGTTTGTTTAATTAACTTTCCTCATATATTAAGTGTCAGTAGCTGAGTCCTGAAAGATAATGAAAGGTATATCCTTCATAGTGGGATTTCACATAAGACAGGTTTTCTTGCATTAAATCTTTAGTGCCAAGAATTCGAGTACCTCCTCAGCCTGGTACATGTAAAAACTAACTACTTCTAGTGATAGACATAATACTCTCCTGTTGCAATTAATAGTGCCACATATGTAAACTGTGTGTGCCAGGTCATCAGATTAGTAATAGGAAATCCCAATGGCTGTCTGGACAGAATGCAAATGAGGGTCTGGCTTGGAGTCTAGAAAGAGATCTAAGTTTAAAACTGCTGTTGGGTTTTCCTATTCAACGCAGGTGCAGCTGGCACCTAAATGATAAGATACGTACAAATAAGTACTGGGAGTCTCTACTGGCCCTTCACTTTGCCAGTATTAGTTGGCAGTTTCCCTTAGGCATTTTAGGGAAACTCTGGGATTTCAAAGAGGTCAGCAGAGTGGCTTTGCACATTGGTTTTGGGAGGAATTAACTCGGCAGAGTCCAGCAAATGAATGCGATGTGGGGAATTCTGAGAGCCTGAGCTGTGCTAGAGCGGTTTGCTGCACACAGGAAACCCAGGGGAGAGATGAATGCTCTCCTGTTGGCACAACCTTTTAGTGCTGCCATATCTCCAAGTTGCCTGTTTATTTCTGAATTTGGACTTACCAGTTTTTGGCAACAAATTGCCTAATAATAAGACATTTGTGTGACTTTCACGTCAAAGAATCCATGTATGTTAATACATTTTTTTTTTTTTTCTTGCTGCAGCTCGACATCTGGTCTAAATCCAACTATCAGGTCTTTCAGAAGGTAAGTCTCACATCGTTTTCTTTTTATCTAATACCTCTGAAGAAAATCAAGGTTCTGGGACTTGCAGAGTTTGTTTTGCGTGTTGAAACACGTCTCCAAAAGAATTAAGATTTGCATTATTTGTCAGCCATCCCAAAACTTTGTTTTTACCTTGCCAAGAAAAACAATCTCCAGTGACTGAAGACTGAATTAAAAAAAAAACCAGGAAAAAAAAATGTTTCTCTTGTTTAGTGATGACTTTAGGCATGTTTCCTCATCCCTATCTGAGCCTGGTCAAAGTTATCTCAGAATATGGGACTTTGCTGCTGTAGCCTGAGAAATCTTTGAGCAGTCAGTCTTACCCTTAGGAATTTTAGCTTAATTCTTTCTGAGTAGTTTGTTTTACTTTTTCTTACTTTTTTAAGTAAACTAAAAATAAAGGCATCCTCCCTGGGCTATAGTTGAAGGAAGATATGTTAGCACCTCTTTCCCACAATGCCTCATAACAAATTCTGCACATTTGTAGAGTCAAAATTCATTGAGGAATTGATTTTAATAAATCAATGGGTCTTGTAGGCTTCTAAGTAACATTGGTGCTTAAGAAAATGTTAGCCTTGTAGCTGTTGTGCCTGCTTCTCACCGAGTAAATTACTGAGGGTAAAAGCGATTTCTCAGATGTGTTGTGAGAAGGGAATGGATGCACAAAATATAGATCTGCTTAGACTTTTAAGGCACCTTTAGACAGGGCTGTACTGTATTTGAAGGCAGGTAAAATAAAACTTCCCTTTGTGAAGACCTCTTATCAGAATGCTGTAAGTTCAAATTACCGGATTTTAAAATCCAGTTTCCTTATCTTCAAGCCGCAGTTTAAGAAATTCAGGACTTCCTGCTACTATACTGGTTTCTTTTATCTGTGTCCATAGTTCAGGTAACACATGTGGGTCAGGGACTCGAAAGGGCATGAAAGCAGGGGTCAAAACTATTGCGTGTGTCCATGCATAGATGTTTCCACCATACAGAGCTCCCTCCCAGGGCTCCATGTGCAGTCCAAAGTGAGGAAGTTTGATCTCAGCAATTAACCAGTTGAAGATGAAAGGGCAGGTTTTGGGGAGTGGCATTAGGACAGAATACTGATGTAGTTCTTCCTTTATTTCCAAGATAGGAAACAATTGGTAAGAATTAAGGAATCTCTCCTCCCCCGTGTCCCTCAGTCCCATACAACTATTGTCTGTGCTCTTTCAGGTAGAGAGTAATGCAGTCAAATGTAGTGCAGCACAGAACGACCTTCTTCCTTTTCAGTAATACTTTCACGTGATTACTGCCCAGGAGTGGGTTTAGGGTTTATAAGTAAGTACATCTTTTCAAATTCTCCATCTGTGCTTTTAGGTTGTATTAGGGGTGTAGGTTGTAGCAGTGTTGGTCTAAGGACATAGGCAGACACAGTTTTTTGGGTGAATCTGATATCTTTTAAACCCGAAAGCTTGCTAAAAAATGTTTTCCAGCTATTTAAGTTGGTCTAATAAAAGATATCAGATTCACCCAGAGAACCTTGTCTGCCTTTAGGTCAGGGGTAGGCAATTATTTCGGGTGGAGGGCCACTTACTGAGTTTTGGCAAGCCATTGAGGGCCACATGACAGGCAACCAGGGGCAGATAAATATTAATTTTCTAAATTTTTTAGGGGCCCCGCGGGCTGGATAGAGTGGCCTGGTGGGCCGCATCCAGCCCCTGGGCCGCATTTTGCCCACCCCTGCTTTAGGTTGTAATCCCATTTGGCCAGCGTCTGTGCCTGCCTGATATGTTTTCAAAGCATCTAGTACATTGTAGGCAAAAATATACTACAAATAACAGTTTTCTTTGGGGTATGGACAAATAAATTACAGTCGCAGGGGGAAACTGAGAAGTTGACTACCTTGTTTCATTGAGGGCCGTTAGCTACAGTTTAGCTTTCACTTCCTGCAGACTGAAGTCAAGCACACAAGCAGTTAGGGCAGAGCAGCGGGCATGTACCAGAGGCCCCCACCACCAGTAATTTGGTCATTTGTCCATACACTTAGACACCTTTAGTAATTTTAAAAAAGGAGCCAGGCAGTATGTTTCATAGTTGTCACCTTAGTGAGTGCAGTTGGCTTATAAATGGATAGAAATAACAGCTGTACATTGTAAAGTGTAACTAATTGGTAAACGGAAGCGGAATCTGCTGACCGCTGCTTATTGATTAGTGAAAAAAGCAATGGTTTCAGTCCAGTTCCTAGGTGGCAAGAAGCTACATAGTGAGCACCATTGCAACTGGGTAGTTGCTGGCCCTGCAGTGGCCAATTCCTGTTTGAAATCTGTGGGTTTATCTTGTGAATCATGTTTGCACACCTTACAGGGCTAACATTTTGGGGCATCCCATGGCATCCTTGAAAGGATCTCAAGGCACCCCAGGGTGCCACAGCACTCTTGTTGAGAGTCACTGTAGTAGGGATGAGCTAAAAACATAAATGATGGGGAAAATGTTGTTTCGTGGTTTAATGAATGTGACGTATGATCCAGGTTTCTACCACTGTACTCCCAGTTTTCTCATTACCTCACTGCATTATTTTGGGCAGTCATATGCCTCTCTATGGATGTGTTTCCCCATCTTTAACACAGGTGTCATACTGACTTATATCTCATCTCTTCATCTTAATTGCTGTAAGATCCTTGGATGAAAAAACTTGTTGGAAAATACTAGGAAGTATTTTGTAAGTCTTACTGTCAGATCTTATACTATATTTTGAGCCAAGAACAAAATCAGATATAGTAAGGATCTATTAAAAATATACAATGAGAATTTCCATATGGGTAGTAGCAAATGCTGCGGTTCTGCATATTAAGCACACTCGCTGGGATGGCACTTTTTTGTTCTCTGACAATGATACATTCGCACTCGTTTTTTAACTTTGGACTAGTGTTATAAGAGCGCGAGCTGAAGGATATGGTTCAGCTGGAGCAATGATTTCACTTTGGCATTGTTCTGACAAAAATTACTTATCTAAGCAGGTCCCAGCATGTCTGTACATTGATGAAATTGTTCACTTACAGGCCCGTGCAGGTCATAGTAGCCCCACAATAAAAAGGGCATCTCTCTCTGGCTTTTATTCTTCTGCTTCCCCTTTGAGTAAAAAGTTGTGAAGCTTGGTCCGTCCTTTACCTTTTCTTCTTTCAGTCTTCTGCCCAATAGCTTGATGTTCTGCAACCCTCAGCTCTGGGGTTCTGATTTCACACCGACATTTATCAGTGAATATTCCTGAACCTCCTGTCTTATTTCTTCTTTTATACTATTGGATAAAGACATCTGAGGTGTTAAAATAAGGAGGCTAGAGATCAAAATAGTTGCTGCACCTGCAGAGTTTAAATGTCAGAAAAATATGGAAATGTGTAAACCTTTTCTTTCCTGGCTGTTTTGCCCTTTCAGATATTCCACCCCCTCCTTTATTTTTAAGTTCCATTCTTTGAATCTAACCCTGCTGCTAGGTTTGGTGGCTATGAAAGCTGATTCACCCCAGGATGAAGTTCATGAGGTCTCTAGGGAATCTCAGAAAACGGCTGTTCACTGTAACAGTAATGGGCCCGCCGGGAGCTCTCCCCCATCAAATTATACGCACTTGGGCATCCTGTTTAATAAGAAGGCGAGAAAAGGCTTGCTGACGCAGCCAACGTTTGCAAACAAAAGTCAGGACAAATTTAGCTTTGTTTGACAGGGTTGGCTGGAAGATCAGAGGTCTCTGGTCCTTAACCTAGAAAGTCATGCTGCAGCCCTGTGAGATTTGACAGGTTTGCAGCTTCCACGAGCAGGTATCTTTTGAGCTCCAGATGTTGCTATATTGTCATTGAAGAGTCTGAACACTTGGTCCAGGTTTTTAAAGAGACATGTCCCTGCCCTTCAAGTAATGATTGATTCCCCAGTATTAAGGGGAGGAGAACTCAAAGGGCCTGGTCGGAAGTATTATTAATGTTTTGGGAAGGAGTGCAGCATTTCCACATAGGCCTAGGTAGGTGGGTGTTTTACTTCCCTGTTGTTTTAAGTCCAGTCTGTGGGAGGAGATTGCAGGTGATGAAATAAAACATATAAACATAATGTACATTTTTTTATAAGGCAAATCCCACTTCTGTATCTTATTCAACAGGCTGTTCATGATGTAAGGGAATGATTGGCCTAAAAATTACAGCGTACCAGATCTTGTAAAAACAAGTCAAGCAAAAAAACAGTCACAGGGAAATTGAATATATGAGATGAAACATCCCTTCCTCCAGAGTGCTCTGAGCTATCACATCTTAGTCTTTGGGCAGTGGGTTTTGCTTCCTCCAAATTCTCAAATGCTAGTTTTTTTTAGGGGAAGAAACACAGCCAGTTGTACATCACGAGAGAATCTGATGCTGTTTGTGTTTCTTGCTGTGCATTTGAGTTCTTGACTCTAAGGGTTGCAGTCCCAAACCGGTAATGCTTAAGGTACAACTTTGCTACTACAAGGGCGCACACTATACGAAGATGTATTCTTGTCGATCGTCTCTGGGGGCAGCATCATGTGGGATGAATGCATGCGTGACAAACATCAGGCTATTGATAATGTCTGCTCAAGGAGAGGAGATGGGCTCTTCCAGACACTTGCTCCTTTAGGTGATCAGTGCTTGGCTAAATTCAGGTGGCTGGTTAAGCAAAAATGATTGAGCAACCAAATCCAGATAAGAAAAAACAATGAGATCTAAATATTTCTGGCATTCTCAGTGAGTTATGGGGCACACGCACCAAACCTGATCTTTCAGGAAAGTTTCTGTACTCCATTACTTTGTATTGGAGAAGCAGTTAATTCAGAAATTTCAGTCATTAGTTATATTTGCTCTTGTTCACGGACATCTGTTGTAGAAGGCGTCAGCTGGCAGTCCTTCCTAGTTCCTTTAAGCCAGCAGGTTCTTGCTCCCAGGAGGAAGTTGTATATCTCTCTTCCAAGCAAAGTATTTAAGCTTAGTTTCATTTGAAGCCTATTCATGTACTGT